GTTCGTAAATATATAATACTTAATAGACATTGGTTAATAAAGCCTTGGCTATTTCTCAAAACCTGGTCTACCAATAAGTATAGCGAAACAATTATTTAACAATTATATACTTTTTGCTTAACAACAAGAGTATTTTTATCTTCTACTTTTCTTGAATTCGTAATTAGGGTTAATAACTGCACACCTTTTGAAAGATTAGAGTCTAGTAAGTGTACAAAGGTGGAATTCCTTATATTAAAACGATTTTGGAGCCTCACAACGTTATTGTCCATGCCATTGCATATGGTCATGTTCTACGTGACGACAATAACTTTACAGCGTAATTTTTATTGTAAAAGCCTCGAGCGTAATACTGTCATGTCCGAATCAGACCATTCCACCTCGCAAATTTTCCATAATCTATCTAAATATACATGGAAGGCAGTTTCCCAGCGTCCTTTTCAACAGTCCGAACGCACAGAAATTAATAGATAACATATCTTCGTATGGAATAGCATTAATAATCATTCCATTCTCCATTTTTATGAGATATGCAACAGTTGAACGAATGGTATGACTGGAAGATTTATCTTGATGAACCCATACCCTTCTGGCCTTGTTTCTAGATGGAGATCCTTCTATATTATGCTGCGTACTACTGCCTGGGATACGTGGACGGTTTTTGCTAGTGACTTTTATTACAAGACATCGTACTTTGCTGACTACCTCTGGAGTACGACTTATGATAGAAAAGAAGTGTTGGAAGAATAGTAACTGTTTTTTTAACATTAACATAAAAAGTATGAAAACACGTTTAAGAGCTAAAGTTTTGGGCCTTCGTCCTTCTTCATGACCATGAGCCTCATAAATAAAATCACTCTTCACATATTAAGTAATAAAACTTTTCACACATTTTCCATAAACTGGATATCCCTTAGGGATGCTTGTACTTCTCACGATGTTACTTTTCAGCTATCTAGACAGCGTATTGACACTTTTGCTAGTAATGTTCAATATATAGAATTTTTAAAGATATGCATGAAATATATAATTACTTGGATGGTTCAGAGTCACAGTGGACCCAAAAAAATCACTACACAGTTAAAGTCAAGAGGTTCGTTTTATATCGACGTGAACGCTTTAATATATCTAAATATACATTTATATCGCATTATTTGTGTCGTTGTAATGGTTAATAGCCACTACGATCACCTAAGTCAAATTACTAATTAATTACTTATTTATCATATATATTAATTAGTTTATATCCCATGTTTCGGCTGCTAATCCGCTAATGTCTTCAAATAAGACCGATACGTCGTGGCAGGAACTGTGATTCGACCCTAAATTTTCTTGTTAAAAAAGCTGGCGTGCTATCCAATTGTCCGGGTTTTCACGTCCTTGGAACTTAAAACTACTAACTATTTCAATGGATCATGAGAAGTATCCGGGCGTGTTGATTTCTATGCTATTTTGACTGTGTTATCAGTTAGGTGGATATGGAGGCTATGTAGAGGTTAACTACACCATTTTCTTTGTCGTAACCTGCTAACTTATTTATGTTCATAGCTTGATTGTTTGGAAAATCTTTATGATCTAATTTGACAATGGTTTACTTATCAAACATCTTTATGATCTAACTTAACAATGGTTTACTTATCAAAAATCTTTATGATCTAATTTAACAATAGTTTACTTATCAAACATCTTTATGATCTAATTTGACAATGGTTTACTTATCAAAAATCGTTATGATCTAATTTGACAATGGTTTACTTATCAAAAATCTTTATGATCTAATTTGACAATGATTTACTTATCAAAAATCTTTATGATCTAATTTGACAATGGTTTACTTATCAAAAATCTTTATGATCTAATTTGACAATGGTTTACTTATTCAAAATCTTTATGATCTAATTTGACAATGGTTTACTTATCAAGAATCTTAATGATCTAATTTGACGATGGTTTACTTATCAAAAATCTTTATGATCTAATTTGACAATGGTTTACTTATCAAAAATCTTTATGATCTAATTTGACAATGGTTTACTTATCAAAAATCTTTATGATCTAATTTGACAATGGTTTACTTATCAAGAATCTTTATGATCTAATTTGACAATGGTTTACTTATCAAGAATCTTTATGATCTAATTTGACAATGGTTTACTTATCAAGAATCTTTATGATCTAATTTGACAATGGTTTACTTTTCAAAAAAGAAGAAAAATTATACTTTTAGTATAAGGAAACGCCAAACACTGTCTGAAAGTCGTAATTACGTAACCTATAACTGCTGCTATCTGACAGTCGTAATTACGTACCCTATAACTGCTGCTATCTGAAAGTCGTAATTACGTACCCTATAACTGCTGCTATCTGAAAGTCGTAATTACGTACCCTATAACTGCTGCTATCTGAAAGTCGTAATTACGTAACGTATAACTGCTGCTATCTGAAAGTCGTAATTACGTACCCTATAACTGCTGCTATCTGAAAGTCGTAATTACGTAACCTATAACTGCTGCTATCTGACAGTCGTAATTACGTACCCTATAACTGCTGCTATCTGAAAGTCGTAATTACGTACCCTATAACTGCTGCTATCTGAAAGTCGTAATTACGTACCCTATAACTGCTGCTATCTGAAAGTCGTAATTACGTACCCTATAACTGCTGCTATGTTTGTTTGTTTGTTTGAAGCTAAGCACAAAGCTACATAATGGGCTATCTATGCTCTGTCCACCACGGGTACCGAAACCCGGTTACTAGCGTTGTAAGTCCGGAGACGTACAGCTGTGCCACCGGGGGGCCTGCTGCTCTATGTCCACGTTTTCTAACGATGCACCTTATGTCATAATTTTAATAACAACTTATTTTCTACGTTAATAAACTGTTGCTACATTCAAATATAAACCTGGACATAAATATGAATCCAAAACTTATCTTTTTTGAATATATTAATAGTTACCAACAAAATAGTTTAGAGTGTATCCTAAACCAGATCACTTTAATAACTTTGTTCTGACAGCATTTGAAAATAAGTCGTTTTTACAGTATCGTAGAAGAAATACGAAAATTGGAGATTTCTAAATATTAATGAGTGTAATTATATATATATATATATATATATGTTATTATTTAGGATACATTAATTAATTTGGCCAATCTTAAAGTTCTACAACTTACTATTCCCTAAAACAAATAATAAATAAAATGTGTAATGATCGTACCTTAAAATGGACGACATGGTATCTGTTTTCTAGGTTAAAACATTTATTTGATATTGTGAAGCCGAAGTCTCTGTGTTGCGAAAAGGCACACACTCTATGTGTTCAGGTGAGCCCATACAATTGAAAAAGAAAAACTAAAAAAAGTAACAATAACCACGCATCATCTGACATTAAAAAATAAAAATAAATAAAATATTAGGAAAATTTTCAATTTTTTCTTTGGTGTGTCAAAATATCAAAACATAACCTACAAAATGGCGCACCTAAATCCCTAGTTCTGGACACACCTACGGAATATGCATGATACACAACCGATGAAAACTGGAAATGTTTCAGCACCTCTCAAAACTTATTAACAGACTACTATGCCGCTAATAAAGTAGATAATTTTATTATTGTTAGTAGAGATAAGGATAAGCAGTTGGTAAAGATTTTTGGTAATAACATAACTCCAAGATTGGTAATAACAAAGATAACTCCAAGATCGGTAATAACATAACTCCAAGATTGGTAATAACATAACTCCAAGATTGGTAATAACATAACTCCAAGATCGGTAATAACATAACTCCAAGATCGGTAATAACATAACTCCAAGATCGGTAATAACATAACTCCAAGATTGGTAATAACATAACTCCAAGATCGGTAATAACATAACTCCAAGATCGGTAATAACATAACTCCAAGATTGGTAATAACAAAGATAACTCCAAGATTGGTAATAACATAACTCCAAGATTGGTAATAACATAACTCAAAGACTGGTAATAACAAAGATAACTCCAAGATTGGTAATAACATAATTCGAATATTGGTAATAACATAACTCCAAGATCGGTAATAACATAACTCCAAGATTGGTAATAACATAACTCCAAGATTGGTAATAACAAAGACAACTCCAAGATTGGTTATAACAAAGATGACTCCAAGATTGGTAATAACAAAGATAACTCCAAGACTGGTAACAACAAAGATAACTCCAAGACTGGTAATAACAAAGATAACTCCAAGACTGACTTCCATAAAATCCACGTTTCCCTCTAATTTTAAAGTTACTTTAATGCCCACGTGCTCAACATCCTAACTGTTATGTAAATACTGTACTTTATAAATTTTAGACTGTTTGTCTAAATAGGGCATTAAGTAAAATAATATGTAAATTATATCCTACCTACTATCACAAACCGCTATAGTCTTCTATGTCCTGCTTATTATCATAATAAATTGGTCTAGCCACCCATGTTCTGCCTACTGTTATAACTCACTGTAGCCTCCTATATCCTGCTTATTATCATAATAAATTGGTCTAGCCTCCCATGTTCTGCCTACTGTTATAACTCACTGTAGCCTCCTATCACTAATTGCTACAGCCTCCTATAATCTTAGTAACATAGCTTTCTAGCCCGATTAAGTGGAACCTTATTTCTTATAACAAAGTAGATGTTTATGCTAATATGTGTTACATCCTTTAAAATAAATTTGTTAGTGAGATACTTCAACAATCCATAATAATAAAGCTAGATAATATATTTGAGTAAAGCTTCAATCCTTTATAAGAAGGCTCTTAGCAACAATGTTAACGTTCATAAGAAATCTATCAATGAAAACGCCACCTTTAAAAGTAAACTTGATAGCAAAATATATATATATATATATATATATATATATTCATGCTGACAAGAACAAATACAAAGAATACAAATCTTTAAGCTTTAATAGAAGACACTAACGATTAGAGAAATACACAAAAAAGGTTACTTTGCCAAAGTAACATACCAGCAGTACAGAGACGATGATCTTCGTCATAGCCGTCGGGGCAGTCCGGGGCTCCGTCACACAAGTACTGGATGGAAATACAGATAGTTTCGTCTCCTGGACACCGAAACGGTCGAGTGGGATGGCACCGGTCGTTATCATCTAAAGTATTAAGTAACCAGTGATCAGCGTGATATATTCTCTATAGTATATGATAGTTAAAGTACCCCCCCCCCCCTGTGTAAAACAGTTAACTCTTGCAAATTCGACACACCCAATCCTAGGAGAAACTTTCTTCATAATTAAACATGATGCGTTTACTAGCAAGATATAATCGTACAATTAAACACGATGCCGTTTACTAGAAAGATATAATCATACAATTAAACACGATACCGTTTACTAGTAAGATATAATCATACAATTAAACACGATACCGTTTACTAGAAAGATAAAATCATACAAGAAACACGATACCGTTTACTAGAAAGATAAAATCATATAATTAAACACGATATCGTTTACTAGAAAGATAAAATCATATAATTAAACACGATACCGTTTACTGGAAAGTTATAATCATACAATTGAACACGATACCGTTTACCAGAAAGATATAATCATACAATTAAACACGATACCGTTTACTAGAAAGATATAATCATACAATTAAACACGATACCGTTTACTAGAAAGATATAATCATACAATTAAACACGATACCGTTTACTAGAAAGATATAATCATACAATTAAACACGATGCGTTTACTAGAAAGATATAATCATACAATTAAACACATACCAACATGTTCTGTTTCATTTGTGGCAGACACAAAATGTGAAAATATAATATGGACGCGAGTTGCCTTCCTATTTGAAAATAGGCCAGATCTAAAGTATTGTTACGACAGCAAAAGTCACGTGACGCTAGTAACACGTGATGAGATTCTCGAAGGATCATGAATTTTCCTGGCAACTCTAGTTTGTTCCAAGCGCCCTCTTTTTTTAGTATATAAGCCCGGCAAATAAAGCGAGGATAGAATTGCATAGATAGATAGACATAGAGAGAGATAATTGAGTCAAGCAAACAGTAGGCACCATAACTAAAGTGTGTGAATCACTGTGATTTATAGCCTGTGTTTATAAAAGTAGTTAAGTTTAAAGTGACTGTGGAAATTCTGTGTATTACAAAGTTGTATCGCGAAAGAATAAA